TAAGTGTGTCTTTCTAGGTATTTCATCCACACAGAAAGGGTATAAATGCTTTGATCCTTCAACAAAAAAGATGTTTATTTCAATGGACACTGCTTTTTGTTGAAAATCAAGTATTTTTTTGATACTCATCTTCAGGGGGAGAGTTCAAATGAAGATGCTAACAATGTGTCACATAGTCATGACAATCTTGATTTTCTTGACATTAATCTAGATATGCATTCTATTGGAAACTTAGATGCATTAGAAAATGGTCAAACATCAGAAAATAATGAAATAAATACAACCGATAAAATGGGAAAAGAAGAACTGCAAATTAGTAAGTTCTTTGGCAAGGTTTATGAGAGAAAGGTTCCAAATCAAAGAGAAGAGGAAGTCTCTGAACCTACATCTGTTGATGAATCTGACCTGATGACAGTAAATGAAAAAGGTAATAACTCAACTGATCTTGATTTACATATAGCCCTCAGAAAAGAAAGAAGGTCACGTGTCAAATATCCTATTTCAAACCATGTTTCCTATTCTAGATTATCCTCTACATTTGCAACCTTTTCTTCTATTGTCTCCTCTATTTCTATCCCATCAACCATACAGGAAGCTCTATCTAAACCTGAGTGGAAAAAAGCTGTTTTGGAAGAGATGGATGCTCTTGAAAAGAATCAGACATGGAAGGTTGTAGAGCTACCAAAAAACAAGCCCACAATTGGATGTAGATGGATTTTTACTCCTAAGTTCAAGGCAGATGGCACTCTTGAAAGACATAAGGCAAGGTTAGTTGCCAAAGGTTATACACAGACCTATGACATAGACTATACTGAAACCTTTGCACCAGTTGCAAAGTTGAATACTATCAGAATTCTTCTATCTATTGCTGCAAATTTAGATTGGTCTCTTCAACAGTTGGATGTGAAAAATGCTTTTCTAAATGGAAAACTTGAGGAGGAAGTTTACATGAATCCTCCTCCTGGGTTTGAAAGCAGGTTTGGTTCAAGAGTATGTAAGCTGGAAAAATCTCTGTATGGACTCAAACAGTCCCCAAGGGCTTGGTTTGATAGGTTCACACAGTTTGTTAAAAAACAGTGATATAAACAGGCCCAAGCTGATCATACTTTATTTATAAAATGCTCAAGTAAGAGGGAGATTGCTATATTAATTGTCTATGTAGATGATATTATCATTACAAGAGACTTTTATGCAGAAACACAAAACCTGAAGAGAAAACTTGCTACTGAATTTGAGGTCAAAGATCCCGGGAGAGTTGAAATACTTTCTTGGCATGGAAATAGCTAGATCAAAAAAGGGAATTATTGTATCTCAAAGGAAGTATGTTTTGGATCTTCTTCAAGAAACAGGGATGAGTGCATGTAAACCAGCTGACACTCCTATAGATCCAAATCAGAAGTTAGGAGATGTCAGAGATGGGGTTCCAGTCAATGTGCAACAATATCAGAGATTGTTAGGAAGACTTATCTACTTAACACATACCAGACCTGATATTGCTTTTGCAGTTAGCATGGTAAGTCAGTTTATGCACTGTCCATATAAAGAACATCTTGAGGCAGCTTACAGAATTCTTAGGTATTTGAAAAGTTGTCCTGGAAAAGGATTGTTCTTCAAAAAGAACCATAGTAGGGCAGTGGAGGCCTTTACAGATGTTGATTATGCAGGATCAGTGAGTGATATAAGATCTACTTCAGGGTACTACACTTATGTATGGGGAAACCTAGTGACTTGGAGAAGTAAGAAATAGAATGTGGTAGCTAGAAGCAGTGCAGAAGCAGAATTCAGATCAATGGCCAATGGTATATGTGAACTTCTTTGGATCAAGAGAGTGATCAAATAACTAAATATGGAATTGGAGTTACCTATGAGACTATATTGTGACAACAAGGCAGCTATTAGCATTGCACACAATCCAGTCCTACATGACAGAACAAAGCACATTGAAGTGGACAGACACTTTATCAAAGAGAACATTGAAGCTGGAACTGTGTGTACACCATTTGTGCCTACCAAGGATCAAACTGCTGATATTCTAACGAAAGGATTGTTCAAACCAGTGTTTGAACAACTAGTAAGCAAGTTGGGAATGTATGATATATATTCACCAACTTGAGGGGGAGTGTAAAAATGTACAGTCGAGTTAGTTGTAGATAAATCAGAATACTTAGCCTTATCTGATGTAATTTACTCACACGTATTAGATAAGTATGGTTAGGTAGTCAGATCCTATTTTTTAGGATCTCATCAGTTAGACTGTTAGACTTGTATCCTATATATATTGTAACCGAGTGATGGAATGAATCAATCAATTCTATTCTCCCAAACTTACACGACAGGATGGTGGACAGGTTAATCACTGTGATTCAGTCAGCAAAGGGGCGGTGGCCTTATACACGTGCGCACCAGAGGTCCAGCTTTATTTCAGGTTGAATTTGGTCTGATTCTTATTCTTTTCTTCAGTTGTTCTTTTCTGATCTAATTTTCTTCATCTCTTCTTCGTTACAGATTTGTTCAAATTATTTTAATATTTCTTCACTATAGAATATGATCAGTAGATTATGGACACGTTTTTTATTTAATGCAAATGTACCTTTAGTAGTTATGTCTACTTTTCAGGTATTTATGTAGCAACTCACTATATTAGTATGATTAATTTATAAAATATTATGATATTTTAGTTTTACTTCGATGAGCATTCATTCTATGTATTTGGTTTATCCTTTTCCAGATGAAATTGCTTTTACTGGACATTTAATTTAAGACATTGAATCCAGAAGCAAAAAAAATGTATACTTGATTCAGGTAATTCCTTTGGTTTTGTATTATTCTCTTTTTCTTTGTTCTGATTTTATTTACACTTTTTACTTTTTATCTTTTTCCCTTCATCCAGATCATGTGAGTTCTGTTGTTGATTTAACTGAAGATCTTCATTCTAGCAGAAACATTATTGGTTTATCAAGTATTTTTCCTATGTTGTGACCTTTATGTTCTTTGTTTTTATTTATATATTTATTTTAGCTTCAACTTTTGATTTTATGCAGCTAGCCATTCTTCTAGTAGTTTTGATCCTATAGCACAATCTAATGCTTCCCTTTCCATAGATACTATTTTAGTTAAAGAAGCTGAAGTTTCTGAACTTCTTGGAAAAACAGTTTTGTCAGAGAAAGAAGCTTTTGATTTGTATAATGAGTATGCTATTAGGATTGGCTTTGGCATTCATTATTCAATTCTACTCTACGGAAGAAAGAATGTGGTTGTTTGAGAAGAAGTTTGACAAGCTTGATCACATTCGTTATTCATAAAGCTTCTCGTGTTTACACGATTTATGCTTACAAGCTATTTGAGAAGGAGTTTGACCGTGCTATGTCTTTGAAACATGAGGTTAGGCATTATTTTGGTTCTATTATTGTATATTTGGTATAGATGTCTCATATTGATTAATTTTCACATTGGGTTTCATATGACACGACATCACATTCTGTTAATTGTTCATGTAAGAGGTTCCAAGAAGTTGGTATTTTGTGCTGCCATAGTCTTCATGTATATCATATCCACTGCATTGAAGTTCTTCCTCATTGTTATGTTTTAAAACGCTGGACTCGAATAACAAAGTAAGTTGAACAAGATCAATCATCTACGTTATCAAACACTTCTAATGTTTTGCCTTCTGTTTAGAGAATGCAAATGCAAAGGAAACTCCACAAACTATTGTGTTCTAGTGATTGTAATGCATCAGCGAGGCTGCTTTGTGAAGAATCGTTCAAAAAGTTGAAACGGGACATTGAAGAGCAAGTTGGCAGTGTTTACTTCTCAGATAGTGATTCATCTTCAATTACAGTTGTTACAATTTCGAATCCCAAATGTTCAAGGAGAAAAGGTGAAAGAAATGTTCGGCGCAAAAGTATTGTTGAGATTAAATCAAATCAAGCGTGAGGGAGGAAAAAGTCAACTGCAGCAAGTACATCAATTATTGACCCTTGAAAATTGTAATAACTCTTTAAAGCTTTGTATTTGGTTACATACTTGTTATGTTATTCAAAAAAATACATGTTGTTTATCTTATATATTTTATCATCGTTTTAGTATTTGTTATGTGCATTTTTAAAGTTTACATGTGTTTTGTTCTCTATGTTTTTTTGTATTTTTTGCATTTAATGAATAATGTGTTCCCATTGTACAATATTCTTTTGAGTATTAACTTATAAAAGAATGAGCAACACATGTTAACTAAATGAGTATTCTAATAAACTTTAATGTTGCAGCTTGTTCTTTTCAGTTGTTGTATTTGAAATGAATTTTGAATCCAACACTCATTTATTTGTGTGTCTATTATTTCGAAATAACTATAAAAGTTTTTATTTGTTTAAAAACACACTTTCACATAAAATTCACTATTTCAATTCTTACTCACTTTACTTGCACCATTATAATAACTTACTATTACTTGAAAATACAGTTCCCCAGTTGTGTATTGTAGCAAACAAAATGAGCATGAAAGTTAGTAGTAATATTAATTTATATAAATTTCATAGATGCGATATCAGTATTCAATATTACAACCATCATTAATGTGTATATTTACTATTTCACAATTAACACAAATATATTTATTTTTCAAAAACACACTTTGACAAAAAATTAGTTATTTCAGTTTGTAATCACTTTACTTGCACCATTATAACTAACTTACTAATGTTTGAAAAAAACACCCCCTCAACGTTTTTTTAACAAGAAAATAAGTTCACATACTTTCATAATGAATTATATCAAATTGAAGTGGCCAGTCCTCAAATTGTGTATGAATCACAAATGAAATGAGCATATAACTTACTAATAATGAGCGTTAATATAAACTTCATAGATGCATCTTTCAGCATTCAATATTACAACCATCATTAATGTCAACCCAGATTAATAGTAATATACCAAATATTAATAGTGTTTAACAACTTATGATTAATCAATTAAAAGACAACCATATGTTCCTCAACACACACAATCATCAATGTCTCAGTGTCATTCCATTTGTTCTAGATAAGCATATTATGTTACTTCACTTTTTCCATCAACTCCTTGATTTCATTCTTCTCAAATATGACTATGGCATGCAAATACTTAATCCTCAGTATCTCAATTGCTTTTTGTTGTACACACATTACAATTTATATATTACAATTTTCACATAATTATTATGTTTGAAATACTATATTAAAAATATTTGAACTTACATTTTCTTTGTCTAGCCCACACTCCTATGTTGTGTCGCCATTAAATGCCTCCACATGCCTCATCAAATACACTCTCTCATTGGTTTTGTTTTTGTTATTTCTCCAATGCATTTTGACCAATTCTGGCTTGAGCTTCACAACCTGATCTGCCTTTGGGTGCCCTTCTTGTTGAAGCCATTTCACAAATCCACTTCTCTGTAGTAAAAAAGTTCAAAAACTTGCTTATACATTTTATATTATAATGCACATAGTTTCTATGAAACTTACTCATTTATCTAGTGCATAATACTCATATACTAGCTGTTTAAATTATTTAATAATATGCAATATAATCAAAAGAAGTATATAAAAGATTTACCATGTAAGTTGGTTGGAACAAGTACTTCACTCCAACACGTATATCTCCATCGCTACTATCAATAATGTAGAACTTCATGTTCTTCAATTCAAAACACATCAAGTAGTAGCACCCGTTCTATTGATCTGGGAAGATGGATAGGTTTGTTGTCCCCAACTTATTGCCATCTGCCTTGGGAAATTTCATACCAATAGCTGCAACAAATCTTTTGTTCCTTGTTTGTGGAGCACTCACATGATTCTATAATTTAATATTTTAGCATATTAGTTTGATGTGGTTAATACTAATTAAAGAATTATGTACTTCTTACACATGGCTTTGTTGAGAAAAGCAGTCTACTTTTAGCTTCATGGCTTTTGAACTTTTCATTACGGTTAAGCATCATTGCCCATATATCTGTCACTTCTACATCAACTTTTAAGTTGCTCCTCAATGTTTCCAACTGAGCGTTGGAAAGGGTTAAGTTGTGATTCTTGAAGAACACGACACTGTTTCAATAATTTATTCACACAAAAAACATCAGTCTCTTTACTTATAACCTTCAATGAGTAAACTCACGTATTAAATGTGCATTAATCTTAAATGAAATGATTGAATAAAAGTTATTGTGTACTTACTTCTTGTCACGATGATCATTAAACACAAAAGCTGCAACTAATCTTTCTTCACTGCCAAGCATTGTCTTTGCGTCTATGACTATATTCATAAACGGGGATTTCAAAGCAGTTGTTGGTAATGTTTCTCTTTTTTCTCTTTCCACTTTCTTCTCTTTCGGATCAACTTGCTTTTGTGCAAATTGTTTAACCTTTTTATACCTTCTGGCTCTCTCTTCTTGACCTTCTTCCTCTCCAGCATTTTGTTCATCCTCATTAACATCCTCTTCATTCTCACTATCTTCATTCATCTGCTCACCGCCACCATCCTCTGCATGCTTAATACCATTACCTAAATTCTCAAAAACTTCATTAACATGCTCATCATCATGCTCATCCCTATTCTCCATTTCATTTGACTCCTGTGAAAGCAACTTGAAGCTTGGTTTTTCATATCGTGTAAAAGTTGGCCGCTCAACTCTTTTCTTATGAGCCATTTCAATTGCTTCAACTGCTTTGAGCACTTCTTCTGTCCAGAATCCATCATCCGGAGTCAATGATTCTTCAGTGTGTTGAAAAGTGCATGTACTTTTCCCATCAAAACCTTCATCGTCTCGTCATCTGGCAACGCCTTTGCAGCCTCTTGGAACTTCTCATCAAAACTGGCAATTCTTTCTGCCAAATTTTTAGCGGTTGCGGCAAATTGCTTCATAATGTCCTGTAGTCATTTAATGAGTAATGTTAGAACAGTAACTGAGCACTCTTTATTGTACTTTTGAGTTTATACTATAATAATTCCATATCACATATTTTATACTGTTATTACAAAATGAAATAACAATATATGTTTATTATATTTGTTTATTTAGTCATTAAAAGTTTTATCCATGGTTTTGTGACATTTTTTTCTTTTTATTCAAGCATTTCCTGTTAGTACTCATTATGTTGTATTAAATACTCATAACTAGAAATCCTAATTCTCATTTATATACTTACCCAAATTTATCTCTTAAAATTACATACTGCTCTCCTTACCTTCTTTGGATGCTGATTGATGTTTCCCTCAATTGTCGTTCCAACTTCTTGTTCATTTCTTATCACATTTGGAACTGTCAGTTCCCCTTTATTAGCTTCATCTACATATCCAAATCCGAAACCTCCACTTTCAATTTCTTCCTTCTCTCTTTTGTTCAGCTTTTGTGTTGTCCATCCAATAATAGATGGCAATTCTCTTTGCACTTTTCTTCCTTTGAACACAACGTTGTGAATATAGAACATCTACCGATTTTATAAGTTGTTATAATTGTATACTGCATGAAACTATTTGATTAATAAGATGATACAATTGAGCATTAACTTACAATCAGAAACAATAGAGGTCCAGGGAACTGTCTTGTTCTGTTCTTGCTCCGATAGTCCTTTGCTTCAATTAAAGTTTCCAATGCACATCAACACCAATTCGGATTTGGTATTTTCGAATCATCCTCTAAAGCCTTCAGAATGCTTTGATTTGCAAAGCAATTTTGCTTACCTTCAATCAGACATGTTACAAGGAGAACCAAAAAATTCTTCTTAAACCAACCTCTACCTCTTTTGTTTTCTTCTAAGACCTTCCTCAATTGACCAGTCCTCACAACTCCATTTTTTGTCTCAAATTGCAAGCTCCGAATATTCTATATTCTAAAACAAAAACAACATAGAACTTGATGTTACCATAGCACTATATCCACATTTGAAAGTAGTTATAAAATAATGAGTATCACATCAATTATAATTTAACATCATCACTAACAATAGTTCTCACATAATGTTTTATAAAATGAGCATTGTTTTTCAAATTATGAGCATACAAACAATTTTCCACAAACCATATTAAAGAACAAGCATATTTTAAACCAGTTTTCAGTACTATAAAATTTTGACATAATGTTTTATAAAATGAGCATATTGCATTCACATTGTAAGCATACACACAATATTCATGTGACTATATTACATAAAAAATATAATGTAAAACAAAAAATGCACAACACTTCATGAAGACGTAGTTCTATTCGGTCATTTGAAACAGTGATCAGATAATGAGTATCATTTCAATTTTAATGGCACACTATGACTAATAAAAAAACATACAAACAGTTTTCATGTCACACTATCACTCATAAGCATGTTCTCCAATAAACTTAGAAAAATTAAACCACAAATCACTTTATTCATAGATGAGTACTACATACCACAAAATAAGTATTGTATCACTTTACAAGTAGCCTAATTACAATATCACCATGTTCTAAGTAGTTAGTAATGTATATCACTTAAATTCGAGTAAAATGAGCATTAATTTTCGTACATTGAACAAAATCTCCATTGATTTACTCGATCAACACATATCACACATCAAATTCATAATCTGCTTCAGATATATCAAAATCATTTCAATTTCTCTATAATTTTCGCAACATGCAAGTATATTCATTGATGATTACTAAAATATAAATTACACAAGTATAAAATGACATACCTCTTAGATGCTTCTGCAGTTGGATGCTCATCTACGTTTAACATAATTTGATACTGAGATATACTATATCCATCACTGTCTTCAATGCTCAAGCACCAACACTTTGCTGCTCAAACAAAAAGTATCTTCTTCTGTCTTCAACTTGTTGTCCGCCAACTCTACCAAAGTATCAACCAACTCCACAAACGTTTGACGGCGATCCTCGATTTTCGCGCTCAAATACGATTGCTATGAATGTTTGAGTCGGTATGCTAACAAATATCAGAAGATAGTTTGGTTTCTGAGAGAACGAAGTTACTTTTTGTTTTTGAATGGTTTCGTTGCAGCTCCACAAAATTACTCGGTAAAACGTTGGGCCTTTTCTTCAGGGCTTCATTACTTAATGGACTTTATCATTAAGTGGACCAGATGTACATACACCCGAGTGTATGGTACAGGGAATAGTGAATACTCGCAAATCACACTTTTGAAAATTAATTATTTTCTTTCTTTTTGGAGCTTCTTCATTTCTTTTTCTTGTGGGGTTAGGTCATGAATATTACTCGGTAGAAACCCATGGACAAAAATAGAATCACTTCTATATTTTTTCAAAAAAGAGACCTTTGTGACTTTCATACCCTTCCCAATTAAAGTTACATAGTTTACCCAGTTACACTTATGTGACCTGACTAATTACATTTATCTGACCCATCCAGTTACAATTACTTGACCCGTTCAGTTATGGTTACCTGACCCGTCCAGTTACAATTATTCGACCCGTTCAGTTATAGTTGCGCGATCAGTCAAGTTACAATTACTCAACTCATCCAGTTACAGTTACCCGTCTCATCAAATAATAGTTATCCGACCCATCCAGTTACATTAATCAGACCCATTTAGTTGCAATATAATTACTCGGTTTGATAGTGACCACCGCTAGCCACCACTGCCGGTAACCACTAATGACCAATACTCTCGACCACCACCGACCACCACCATTGACCACAGCCGTCCATTGCCACCGGTGGCCTAGCGCCGCCCTAAACTTCCCAACCATCACGTCAGTGACAAAAACAGAACCACATCTATATTTTTCCAAAATAGAGACCTTTGTGACTTTTATACCCTTCCGAGTTAAAGTTGCATAGCTTACCCAGTTACACTTACGTGACCTGACTAATTACAGTTATTCGAACCGTCCAGTTACAATTACTCGACTCGTCCAGTTACAGTTATCCGACCCATCCAATTACAATTACCCGACCCGTCCTGTTACAGTTAAGCAATCAATCAAGTTATATTTATCCAACCCATCCAGCTATAATTATCTGGCCCGTCAAATAATAGTTATCCGACACATGCAGTTACATTTATCAGATTATTTAGTACAATTACCCGGTTCCATAATGACCACAACTTGCCACCCCCGCCGGTAACCACTAATGACCAATACTATCGGCCACCACCGACCACCGCCGTCCATTGCCACCAGTGGCCTGGCGCCGCCCTACACTTCACAACCATCACGTTAGTGACCTCCCCCTCTCTGACAGTCGCTGCCACTCGACATGACCGTCGCCACTCCCGCGATGACCGATTCCGCCCATCGGTGACCCTCCCTAGCCCCTATGCAGCCCCAATCCCCCTTCCCAGTCTCTTCTAGGCACCTCCTCTGCCTCCAGCTCCTACAGTCCCAACCCACCTCCCAGCCCTATTCCTGACCCAAAACCCTAATCGTTGCACTTCGCACCACCTCCTCCGTTATAATTCATCGCAAATATAAAATCGAGCCACCGCCGTATTCAATCAAAACTAGAGGAAGAAGAAGAGTTGTTTGTCGAGGTTGGAGACATTGTCAATGGCTCACCCCATTGTTGGAGCTCGGTACAAGGTGGATTCTATCGTCATCATCGCAGGTGCGACGGACCGTTGCTGAAAAGTTTCATCGCTATCTTCCTGTCACTGTCATCGTTGTGCCACCACCATCTCCGGATATCTGTGCAGCGAGGATGCAGAGAGAGAGAGAGAGACATAGATGGAGATCTACACAAGGTAGGATGAGAAGCTCGACTGATGTAGAGAAACAGAAATAAGTTTGAGGGCTTTTCAGATATTTTACATCACTTTTAGTTTTTTCTATGTCCAAATCGGGATTAGGTCCTCCAATCAAAACATGTGAGTCTTATTCTTGACATTATTTCTTTTGCTTTTCTTTCTTTATTTTTCTTGTTTTTTTTTTGCTTTTCAATTCTTCTACTTTTCTATCAAAGTAAAATATTAAAAATTTAATTGCAATTTTACTTTTATTTATCTTTCTATAATATTTTTTATATTCATACACCATTTTTGTAATATCTTTTTTATTTTCATACATTTTTTTGTAATAAAGTTTTATATGCATACACTTTTTCTATAATATTTTTAATCGCTTTTATACGTTTTTAGATGTTTTTAAGACATTGAGTTTGTTTATTTTGATTCTTGGAGTTACATTTGATAATATACGAAGTTAAATCTTTTTATGCTCGAGTTACATCTTGTTATATGTAAATTACATCTTCTTATCAGACACTCCTCGCAGACCTTAAAGCGAGACTTTTAGACGTCAAAAAAGATATTGATCAAAAGCTAAAAAAGAAATCATCCGCAGAGCTTTATATCTCAAATGACTTGGACACTAAAGCTCCTCCTACAACACCTACAGATGATGACAGTTTCAACGCAGTCATTTCCAAAAAGTCCAAAAGATGAACCGAAGCCCCAACAAGTAATATTCAAACGATCAAATCAAACTCACTGGACATAAACTATCATAATATTTTCTCTAAATTGTTGATTTCCTTAACGTTTGTACTTTTTGCATTTTCCTTCGTGTACTCTTTCCGGTATTAAGAAAATTAGGTAAATGACTCCCAGCATTTACCCCACAATTTTGTGGTTTGCCTTTTGGATAACAAAATTATAGGTTTTGTAAATTTGAAAAATATAACTCATGCACTTTAGAGTTTTTGAATCTCAAGTGGAATGATGCTTATCATTCTATTATTTCAAGATATGGATATGTTCCTTGATATCAATTCTGTTATGAATAAAGTATGTAGATATGCATTTAATAAATCGAGATGCATTAATGTTTGATGTTTGAAACTGTAATTTGAGATTAACCAATGAGATATTGAAATAAATTCAATCTAACATATACATCATATGAATAATTTTATTTAAACTAAACTAATAGACTCAATATAATAGTGTCTATTCAAAATGAGCAAAGTCCCTGATTTAAAAAACACTACTTGAGGGATACACATTGACACACACACACATAATATAAAAGGAATGAAGAAATTCCTTAATAAGGGAAGGTTCGTAGTCCCATAATAGAATGTATCCATAAAACAAAATCATGCTCAACCTCACATTGGGTGAGTCTCTTATTTTTTTAGAGACTCTATGATGTTGAATATTCATAATGTAATTTTTTACTTACATCATGACTCATACATCAATAGAGATTAGCATGTTTTTTAAATCTCTTTTATTCATTTTTTCAATATACATGTTAATATAGTTAATGTTAATATAGTTACTATATGTCAATTTGTTCGTCCAAACAAATCTTAAGAGATTTCTTTGTCCCAAACAGTTTACCACTCAAACAACATGGTAAAATATACGAGTACCATTTACTATATATCAACATGTTGAAAAAATTATTGAGCGACGTAATCCATTTGAACAATGAATGACTATATATAAAAAATGCTTATATAGTAATTGGTTACGAGGGATTTGTAATGACACAATAATCTTTTTTTAAATTCATATCCATAAAATCAATAAAGTTGTCGGGAAAACCCCAAAATAAACTTACGTTATGTCATTTGTGGCAGTGAATAAAATGACCATACTGCCATTTTCTCTACTGATGTATTTCTACGTAGTTGTTTTTTATTCCCTATGGACAATCTGAAAGTTATAACCCCAACACATTGAGCAACACCTTGGTGTATATAGGTTTAGTCCATGTAATTATTGCAATTATTCTGACTTGCAATTATTCAAACTACTAAATTAGCAACACTTTGGGGTAAGCCAATTATTATTGTTCACAAACTACTAAATTAGTTATCCCTTTGGTTTTCTAACCAAAGAGACTGTAACATTGAAAAATCGTCTATTTCCTTTAGACATGGAATCTATGATATTCTTTTGATACTTATGGAACGTCTCCTCAATAACTCTCACCCCAAAATGACTAACCAACAAGGACTTTGACACAACGCTCATGCACTTGGTCACACTCTTGCCTGTTTCTTCCACACTTCTACTTTTGTGCACTTCTCCACCACATGCATTCCAATCAATATATCTACCATTTGAGGAGATGATGGAGAAAGACCCTTCCTTCTCAACTAGGCATTTCACTTCAGCCAGAGATGGGGTGTAATGAGGAAGGTTGAATGTGTTTAACTTTGCATCTTCAATCAAATCCTACATTAAATAATTAACACAAACTTATTGAAGGGAAGTTCAAATATATATATTTTATAATATATGCACATGGTGATAATTGTGAACATCATTAAAGCTAATAAATTTTCATAAGTTAAAATATACTACACATAATTCTCATGGAATCGAGGTTTATTTAGATACATTCTCCGCATTTAATGACATTTATTATGAACATAATATTTAGAAATTTAATTTTAAATATTGAAATTATATATAATTTGATTCAAATACAAGTTTCTTCATATGTAAAAAATAAGAACATTTGGACTGTGATTTTCAGGACTGGTCTAGACTAGACCAATGTGATGTTCTATGTATTTGTGTATTAATTACCTAAGCTTCTATTAAAGTGTAATCAAGTGTGATATGATATACTATGGTCACATCTAATGTGATCTAACATGTGACCAAAATTAGAGTAGATTAGATTTAGTCAATTGTTGTAAAAAAAATGGATGGAAGTGATCAAATTTCAAGTAAGAAATACGGTAATATTATAGTGATCATTAAGAATTTTAAATGAAAATACAATAACAAATATGTATGAGAGCATATATAAAGTATATATAAAGTATATATAAAGTACATCAATAAATGCAACATAATTGAAAAGGTGCATAAATGAAAAAATATGATTACCTAATAAAAAAATATGATATACTTTTTCATTAAACTTTGCATATAAAGTTGCACATATGTTAAGTTTTAAGTTGTGTCACCTTGTACTTTAATTAAAATACATTCCCCGAAAGAATGTCCTACATTCCCAAAATGGAAGCCCCTAAATGAATGTCCCACTTCTTTAACTTTCTTATTTGGTAAATATATCTATACCAAATAGTGTCAAACAATGCAAAACAATGTCACACAGTGTTGCTACAATGTGAAGTCAAATTCATTTCCTTAATACATGTGAAGTCAAACTAGGACATTCTTTTCAGGACGGAGGGTGTATAATTCAACAATTTCATGTGATTAGAGGCACATTTCGATCCTCAATTAAAATGGGAGGACTATTTTTTATTACGAAAAATAATACATAGTATATGTAAAGCCATTTTTGTACAATATCTTGTATATCGAGATTTTTGTTTGTTCTGACAAGATTTTTATTCACTTAGAATTCCATGTATCAATATTTTTAAAAAAAGGACAGGAAGAGTTTTAAAAAGGTATCTTCTATTGCTAGGCAATACTATTTACCGTCAAAGTAGTATATGTTTTTTCTCTCACACACACATCACACAGTAAAAATTTATGTGCTTAAACAATTCCATTTTACATGAATGAAAAAAGTTGGTATTATATGATACCCTCAAGGTACCGTACTTTGTTCACGTAGATCAATTATAATATTATAATCGAGCAATTCAAACACAAAGAAATGATAAAATTGCACATATCCAAATCGGCGGAGAAGTCCTTACCCTTCTTTCAGATCATGAGAAAGACCGTCGGCTTCCAGTGGACTTCAGAATGCCAGGAGGCCTTCGACGAGCTGAAACGATATTTATCTTCACCCCCTTGTGCTCTCCAAACCCAAGGTAGGGGAAACCCTATACCTTTACCTTGGTGTTAGCCCGGCGGCCATCAGCTCAGTACTCATCCGGGGAGAAGATGACGTCCAGCATGCCATCTTCTATGTTAGCAAGACCCTCAGAGAAGCGGAACTTCGGTATTCCCTTGTGGAAAAAACGGTGCTAGCTATTGTGTGGACTGTCAAGAAGTTGGGCCACTACTTCCAAGCTCATCCGGTCCAGGTCCTCACGCACCAACCCTCGGCGCTTTGATGAGGAGCCCCATCAGCTCCTCCCGGATGGTAAAGTGGGCTATCTTCCTTAGCCAATACAACATCGACATCCGTCTGAGGCCTGCCATCAAGGGCCAAGCCCTGGCAGACTTCGTGACGGAATGCACGGCGAGATCAGCCACGGACGAGGAGCCTTCGGCACCCTCGGACAACTGGTGGACTCTCTACACCGACGGCTCCTCTGCTATCAAAGCTTGTGGGGGAGGGGCAGCTCTCATTTCTCCCGAAGGATTCCGGGCCTATTATGCCATCTGCTTCTCTTTCAAAGTCTCCAACAACGAAGCCGAATATGAGGCCCTCCTCTGTGGCCTTCGGCTGGCAGCTAACATGAAGGCCCAACAGATCCACGTCAAATGCGATTCCAAATTAGTCGTCGGCCAAATCTCAGGAGAGTATGAGGCCAAGGAAGGGAGGATGAAACAATACAAGGAAGCCGCTAAGGAATTGCTTAAGGTATTTGAGGCACACTCTCTCACTCAAATACCGAGGGCTCAAAATTCTGAGGCCGACATTTTATCAAAGCTCTCGGCCGAATCCCCCGAGCACATATCCAAAATCGAGGAGCTCAGCCTCTCCAGCATACACGTCAGCCCCATCATGAATATACAACAAAGACAGGAGGACTGGATCTCAGACATCATTGCCTTCATCACCACAGGGCAACTGCCCGAGGATGAGGCCCGCGCCAAGCTGGCAAAGTTGAGGGCCCCCAGCTACACCATCGAGGACGGAAGACTCTACAAACGATCTTACAATGGTACGCTGCTCCGGTGCCTTCATCAAGATGAAGCCGAAGTTGCAATGGAGGAAGTGCACAGTGGCACTTGTTCAGCTCATCAGGAACCCTTCTCCATGTCCCGAAGGCTCATAATCCAGGAAGCTGTCGGGGGCTGGTCTGTCGAGGATGATGTTGTGGGCACAGTCGATGTTGACGACGACGAACTCCACTTCGATCTTGGCTTTATGGAGCCCATCGCCGAATAGTACCGGGAGGGTAATGACCCCCTCGGAATCAATGGTGTCTCCGGTGAAGCCGGCGAGAGGGGTCTTGATGGGCTGAAGGGACCCCCTCTCCAGATGCAGCTCTCTGAATGTGCTGAGGTACATTACATTGACGGAGCTGCCCGTGTCAATGTAAGTTCTGTGGATGACAGTGTCATTGATCTCCGTACGGATGACGAGGGCATCCCTGTGCGGAGAGGAAACCGGGGGGAGATCGACATTGGTGAAGGTGATGGATTCCTCCCTCAGTCACTTTACCGGGGGCATATGAGTGACTTCCCCCACGTATAACGATTGAGCCCACTTCTTCCGCTGGCTGGTGGAGTCCCCCCTGTGTTACCTCCAATGATCATATGGATATGGCGCTTCTTCTCCTTCTACTGGTTGTACTCTTCCTCCTCGTCGAGGTTTCCAATTTCCCTCTTCTTACCCTTCGGGTCACCGAGGGGGGTGGTGTTTGGGTTTACCCAAGCGTTTGCTTTCTTAGGGGGCCCTGGTAGTGAGGGGTCCCCTGAGGCGGAGGGCCTCTGATGAATTGGGACAGGTGGCCTGCCTGTATCAACCTTTCAATGGCCGTCTTCAGCTGATGGCAGTCGTCGGTGCTGTGCCCTTGGTTGCGGTGCAACCGACAGTAAGGATAATTGGGGTTGATGGCGTATACCTCCAGGGGTGTGCGAGAGTCGCGCTCCACAAGACCCCTCTCCTCGGCGAAGTCTAGGATGACACTGACGGGGTGCGTCAAGGGAGTCGAGGGTGCTCCAAAAGAATGGGCTGAGCCTAAGCCTTCGGGTTTCCCTTGTAACCTCCCCCGGACTTGGCTTGGCCATGCCGGGGGCGATCACTAGGGGGTGCCGAAACCTTGGATTGATTATGGGGAGCCCCCGGACCCCGGTTACCCTTGTCATCTAGCTGAGGGCATTGCTGATCGGGGTTGTGATGGCACTTTTCCACCTCCTCGGCCTCGGCGTACCGGTCCCCCCGCTGCAGGGCCCTTATGTAATCGCGGGGAGTTTCGATGATGAGGCTCCTTGAAAAGTTCCCGGGGTGAAGGACTGTTTGAAGGAGGGCCAGGAGGGTCCCATCATCAGCGCCATCAACTTTATCCGCCTCCGTCCTCCAGCGTTCCAAGAAGTCCTGAAGGGTCTCCTCCTTCCTTTGTCTTACTGTTAGTAAGTGGGAGAAGTGTTTCCTTGACCGGCGCCTCCCTGCAAACTGCGCCAAGAAGCGTTGGGCGAGTTCTTGCAATGAATCGATGCAACCTTCGGGCAATCGGTTGAACCATTCATACACTGGTCCCTCTAAGGTGGAAAGGAACCAACGGCACAAATATTCGTCCGATGCCCCCACCATCATCATGCTATTTTGGTATCGGCTGTAATGCTCCTGGGGATCTGTCTTCCCTTCATAGGGCCTGATGGGTTGCCCCAGGTATTTTTTCGGGATTCAGGCCGCCAATACCCTTGGGGTAAATGGCGTCCTAGTCCGGAGTTGGATGATGGGTTCCCCGGAGCCTTCGGCTATTTTCTTTTGCATTTCCTCCATTTTGGCCAACATGGCCTCATATTTGGGATCTGCATGAGGGGTAATGACGGTATGTGCTCGATGGGCCTCCATCTCATCAAGCCTATGTTGGAGGGCCGCGATAATCTCGTCCCGGTGATCCTTCGGGAGGGCCTCCGCCCCTTGCGAACGAACACAGGCCGAGTGCGTCTGGTTGATCTGGTGCTTGGCGTCTTCGGCATGGAGTGGTGCCTTGCCATTGTCCTAAGGAGGACGTCTTTCGTCTGCCTTAGAGACGGATCCACCACTTTCCTGAGGTCTTTGGAACGCCTTCCCCCCGAGGCGGTCTTGGACCCCTCGGCGGTCTTGCGCCCCTCCGAGCCTCTCGAGGGCGGAGGTCCGAGGCCTTTCTTTGTTCGCACCGCGGTGGTCCCGGGATTGGACTTCCTGGGAGGCGGTGTCTTGAGCTACGACCCCTTCGTCGTTCCCCACCCGAGGGGTGGACGTGGGAGAAGAACAACGTTTTCCCCGATTTGCGGTTGAAGGGGCACCAGAGTGCCGAAGGCACCTGGGTTTTGGGTGAGTGTTTGGATGAAGGCAGAGAATGCCGACTGTACGTCGATAGTGAGAACCGGAGGGCTCACTTGATTTTCGCTCCGGTCCC